CACGGCCTCAGCTCCTATAGATCCTAGGAAGGCAGCGGGATCTGTGGGCCCCGTAGGTGGTGTCCCTTGCGTCTGAGTCGGCCCAGTGGGCATGGACAGGGCACCCGCAATGTCTGAGGGCCGTACTGTGGGTTCTGTTAGCCTCTGGTGCCCCGGCTTTGGAGAGCTCCACCCGGCTTCCTGGTGGCTCCCCAGGGTGAGGGGGCATTGAGCACAAAGTCTGCTTCTCCTGCCTCTGTGGCCGAGTGTCTGCCCAGCCGCTTCCTGGGCTGTGGGAATGGCCAAGCTGCCCAGGCTGCTCTGCCTGGGGAAGTCTTGGGCAGCTGCATCCAGGAACCCCAAGGACCCAGCTGCTTGGCAGCCTGCCTGGCCACTTTCTGGGCAGAGGTAAAGTGATACACTCGCAAGATTTAAGTGTGTCATGCAACTAATCAAAGAAGCAGGGTGGCTTCTTTTACATTCCTCTGGTGTCACTGGTTTTGAACTAAGCGTGGAGCGCTAATAACTCGATGAAGGTCTTCAGTTCTGGAACTATGCACCACTTTTCTCACTCGTCTACTTCCCAGAAGGCAAGAGCTCGTCTTCTTTTTTAAATTTAAATTGTTTGTAATACAGCACATAAATTGCCGTTAAACAAGGCAATGCAAGGTGGACCCCGAGAAGGAACAGGTGGGACTGCTTCCCATTTTTTTCTCATGACTTTGAGAATAAATCTCCCCCGAATGACACCTTCTCCTTCAAACGCTTCAGTTGTATATTTTATAACTTTTACATATGTCATTTTTACATGACAGTCACAGCTCCCACCTGGAGTTTCGCAACACTGTCCGCATGTTACCTTTTTTTTTTAGAATATGCATGTTTTATTCTGAATAATTTTGCATAATAAAAATGAAAGTACAAAATAATTAAGATGCCAAATACTTTAACAAGCTGAAATAAATTAAACAGAAGAAAAAAGCAGAAATGCACTCCCTAGCAGAGTCTTTTTTATAAAAGTTCAAAATCACTCTTCCAGTTTCACTAATGGAAAGAATGGAAGGTCAAAATCTATATCCTAACATTGAAATAACCTAAATAATCTGTTTTCTACATAGGTGATTGATACTGATGTTTAGGATGACCAAATTCAGTAAGTAAAGTTAAAAAGTAGCAGCAAAAATTATGCAAATTTTTGTCACAAGACTGTAAGTAAAAAAGCTAAGAAGAATAAGAATCCTGAGATCCTTGCTAGACATTTCAAGAGATTAGTGTTCTTTACACTGCCCCTCTTGTTGATTTATTCACTAATGTACTTGTTCATTCTACCACAAGCATTTATTGGATATCTATTATCGAGTAAAATGTTCTAAGGTCTTGGAATATACAGGAAATAAAAATCTCAACTGTTCAGTGTGAGATAAATTGTTGGATAATTATTATATGCTGAGGTGAAAAGATAAGGTACAGGAAAGAATATGAAATTAAGGAGGGAGTTGAAATTTTTAGTAAGGTAGCCCGGGGAAATCTCCCTGGAAAGGTGGACTTTGAATAAGGAAATAAAAATAAAAAAGAAAGGTAGGTAGTTAGATATGTAACTATCTACTTATGTAGAAAGAATACTGTTTTCTTCCTCCATGGCAGTGAATGTGATTACTCATGTTATGGCTTAGATCCTGAACGACCCCCAAATCCTCAAGAGGTCAGAGATGGGCTTTTGGAAAGTGAGTGGGTCATGGGGCGCTGTGCTCAGCAGTGGGTTCGTCTGCTGATGTGTTCAGGGCTGCCTTGCTGTCGGGGTGGGGCCTGGCTGGAAGAGTGGTCTTTGGGCTTCCAGCTGGAAGGGCTCCTCTCCTGCCTGACCATCACCCCCTCCCTGCTCCAGGCTGCCCACGTGAGCAGCTGTCCCTACCCCACCCCCAGCTTCAGCTGTGTCTGCCTTGGAGAGGCCTCTACCTTGGGACGCCATGAGCCCACAGACCTCTCCTTGTGCAGCCGTGGGCACTATGCATCACACCACAGCGAGGAGGAAAGGACAAAGGAGCACATTACAGGCGTTTGCCGAGCAGCCACTCTGGTCACTGGTTATTCCCTTCTCTTCTCTCCTTCCTTCTTGTTGGCCCAGTAAGCAACGATTAGAAAGAGAAATAAAAGAGGGAAATGACCTTAATGTGCCTACATCACATAAGGCTAACAACCTTTTTTCTTTTTCATAAAAGCCCCATTTGTAGTGAGTTTATTGGAAGATAAAGACTAGAAAATGCATGTTCTTGTGATGACACTGACTATGTAAAAATAAGGCCGATGACTAAGGGTCAAAAAGAACACTGAAGCGAAACACTGTAAATCTATTTGCACATTTCTGTTTTATATCAATGGCCCACAATGGGTTTGATCAGTTACATGACAAGGAACTTCCAGCAGAAATGTACACAGGTAGCTAAGATGATTGATATATAAGATGTGATCAAAATGTACAGTGAATGTTCACCTTTTTTTAAGTTATTGCAGTCAAAGACACATTGCCATTAATCCCCTCAAAATCTTTCCCCCAGACACATTTATTGCATTGTTCTTGCCACTTTCTTAAGCAGCTCTGGAGTCCTCTTTCATGATTGTTTTCACAAGATACGACCAAAAATACGGTGAATGGTGGTGCCCAGTGCCATGCTCATAAAATCATGGCAGTATATTCTCCCCCACCACATCCACGGGACCTGGGTCCCTCCTGGCTCCTCCCCAAAGTCGGAATCACCACAAAAGATCAAGGATTTGAACTGACACATAACACTGAGTCAGCCACAACAGTACAAGTAAGCACACACATGGAGGAGGACTTCCAGAACTTGTTCTGACAGTAGCAAGAATGGTAAGGCAAGTGTGTTTGAAGCAAGAGGGCACATTCTGAGGAGGGTTAATGTTCTAATTAAATGACTGCTATGGAATTTGAAGAAAAATGGATTATTTAAGGCCACTTATCAAAACCAAATAGAAAAAATAACCACAAGCCCTCCAACTGTATTCAGAGCCATCTCTATTAAACTCCGTAGCAGTAAATCGATGTATAAAACTCTGACTCCCAACCTACAAGAGAATGTTCTGATCAGAAAGGGACCTGCTCACATTTGAATGTGATTGCAGGTATGTTCTTTGGAAACATACAACAGTCACAAAAACTTTTTGAAAATTCTTAATTTAGTGGCCAGGGACTGAGGGAAGAAAGGTGTTGCTACTTACTGCTAATAAGACAGGAGTGACTCTCTCCACTGAGAATTCCTCCTAGAATTTGAGACAAGATGAAAAGAACAGGGCACAGAGAGATCAAAAGTCCAGAAACAACAGGAAGGTGATGTACGAAGCCCTGTAAACAGTGCCAGCTTCTGTCAGGCAGAAAGCAGAGAGGCTGCAGAGAAAGGTGGGAAAATACGACTCGCCAATGGTCATTCAGTGTGTCAGAGAGAAAGCACATTTGTTGTTAGGTAGGAAAATAAGGTTTCTTTCTCCTCTGTGTAAAAGAAGCACAGAGGCTGATGGACCAGTGCCAGGAGGATTGTTTTATAGTGATCCTGGGGCTGGGGTCCCTAAGTCTTTCTGCTCTAAAATCCTCAAGGTTGCCTGCTGATCCAAAAGGACTACTGGAGCCCCGGTCATCACAGCCCCATTCCAGAAAATAGAAGAAAGAAAAATGTGTAGAGACAGAAAATTTTTCATAGAAAACTATCCCAACAATTTCCATGAAGACCACGTCATTCATTCCGACTATCAAGGAAGGCTAGGTGATAGTATTTTCAGTTCCTGAAGTTAATGAGGAACATGGGAACAATAGTGTTGGACAGCCCATTTTAGAGCACCAGTTTCAGCTGAAAAGATGTATCAATCAAGGTTTTACTAGAGAGACAGACATAACACAAATATACAAATGTATAAGAAATTACAAGATTGGTTTATGGCGGTCAGCCACAGAGTTGGATGAGGAAGAGTGCAGAGGGTGTCTGCACACTGGAGACCAAAAGACTCAGTCCAAGGTTTTGAGCTCACTTCAGTGTCCGTGAAAGTCCATATCAGGAGGCTGATGGGTCTGTGATGGAAGGCTGATGAGTCTACACAGGAAGGCTGAAGGATTCAAGGTGGAAGCCGAAGAGTCTATGCTAGAAGCTGAGAGATGACATCCAAGCTGAAGGTGAAGACTAGAGCTCCTCCAAAGAATGGAACCCTCTGTCCTTCTTTGTTTACCTTTTATATCGTTTAGGTGGTGATTCACCCTAGGGTGGCTCCTCTACATCCTAGGGTACAGAATTGCTGAGCCAATTGCTGAGCCAAGGTTAGTTGGGCTTCTTAACTTCTCAAATTGACATAATCAATCAATCACTACAATCCACCCCTTCTCAACTTGGCAACCAGACACATTTCTTTAAACCAATCTCCAGATACAAAGACATGCAAATAATTGAGCCTAACATGTTATAGCTATCCTTCATACAAACAGAAATGCACAAATTCCCTCACCTATATAGAATGTAAGTTTTCCTTGGTTGATATTTACACTTACAATTTCATAACTTAAACATTATACACAGGTTTAACAATCTTAAGAACCAGTGTTAAGTCTATCAATATTATATCATATCAGGATCATATAGGGTAGAAATAGTACAGTTATAATCCTTTTTTCTGTAGCTGGTCATGAGGTCATAGCTGGTATCTAAAACTACCTTCTTGCACTACCCATTCTGTATTCCCTTGCCCTTCAGCAAACACCTCAGCAGGTCTTGGTTCTTTGCCTGGTGGAGTGACCCTAACTTCATGCCTGAAGGCTCTGGACCATTTGTCATTGTGCCTGTATTAGGTTGTTGTAGTTTCCCATTGATTTTAATAATAGGCAAAGTAATACTAAGAGGCGCCCTAAGGGATCTCCTGCACTCCACCTATATTCTTCCTTTCCCCCATTGTGGAGTAGTAGTCCAATGTCCCCTTGATAGTCTGGGACAATCACCACTGACAACACTGTGACTCCCTTTTCAGCTTGTTTCCTCAGAAGCATGAGGACACCAAAATGACCAGGGGTAAATGGAACTAAGACTTCCAAGCCAGCAGAACATAAGGTCGTGGGGACAGAAAGCAAGTGGATCACTGGGGGTGATGGTGAGTGGTACCATTCCTACTTCCACCCCTTGGTTCTTGGACCCATGAATCCTGGCTATGGGAGACACAGTACCACATAGTGCATGCTGATTCAAAGCATATACAGCCTTGTAGGCCAATCTTGTAATTTCTCATGTTTGTATATCTTGCATTATATCTGTTTCTCTAGTAAAACCCTGACTGATACAGAAATTGGTACCAGGAGTGGGGCTATTGTTGTGATGTTGCCTGGCCATGTGACTTAAGAACCTTTGGTATTAATTTGGAAAAGTTTTGAGAGATTGGCCAAAGAGGCAGCCCTTGTATGCTGCAGACTATATTGGAATCTCTGAGGAGCCTGGAAAATCTGAGTACTCATGGAAATGCTGCCGATCAATATGAAGCTCAGGAGGCTTCAGTTGTGGAGGACGGCACTGGCTGCTGGATCCAAGGCAGTGTATTGTGCTTTGGCAGAAGTTGGTCTGCCTTTTGCTTGTGTTTAGAGATATTGCTGGATTGGAGGAACAAAATTTCAGTGTAGTCTATTGTTGGGAGAGTGGCATGGTTATTGTTGAGAGCTTTTGGCCAGATCTGTGTTTGAAATTAAAAACAAAGAGCCTGTAGAATTTGGCCAGAGAGGTGGCTCTAATGGAGGTTTGAGTTGTAAGGTTGAAATAGAGGATAATGTGATTGTTAAGAACAGGACAGTGAAAAAATGAACTGAAACCTTTCACCTAAAGATAAGAGTATATTTGCATTGTAGGAGATCCCTATATTTTAGTCTTGCCATGCACTATAAAAGTTAATGGGAAGTAAAGACTGTGATTGTAATAGTTTGTTTAATATGTTTCTATGTTGCTTTTAGAGATATGTCTATAATCAGGTTAATTAATCAAAGTATTGTTTTAACCTTGAATTTTGGTCACCCTTTAAATATTTTGGTTTTGGTGCAGAAATGAGTGCAAAAAAAAAGAATTATATATATGTAACTGTTATATTAATGTAAATGTGAATAGACTAAGACATGTTAACTTTTCACAAATCTGCCACTAGAGACTATGGATTAAGGAAATGTATATGGTTATTAAGTTGACCAGGGGTGGATTATGATGGATTGACAACTGGTGGTCAACTTGTAACACCCAGCTGAACTAATTAAGTGTGGTGCTGGGTGTGGGAGGTCCACCTGGGGATTGTTGCCAGCAGCGTAAGAAGCAGAACTGGAGAAGAGAAAAGGCGGCTGGGAACTGAGGGAGGCTGTTGGAGCTGGTAGAAGCTGTAAGGAGCTGTTGGTTCTCTTGGAGGAGCTTGTCATGCTGGCTTTCCTGATGAACTTCATTGTTTTCATCCTCCAAGGGGCTCGGGACCTTGTTGGCACTGAGAATAGCTTTGGTTCACTTTGGGGGAGCTCTGGCCCTCACTTTGAGCATTGCTTCCTGGCTCTGGAAGGCAAGATGGTGCACTGCCAGTCTCCTGGAGAAGCTTGTTGCATTGGCTTTCCTGATGGGAACTCAGCTGTCTTGATCATTGGAGGAGCTCGGACCTCACTGTTGCTGAGGATGACTGCGGTACTTTTCAGGGGAGCTCTGGTTCTTACTTTGCATGTCATTTCTTGGCTTCAGTGTAGACCCCTCAGCTTGCTAGCACAGCTCCTTCATTCCACTGGCACAGACTTTCTAGGTTCCTCCACTGACTTTTGGGCCTTCCCAGCACAGATCTGTGAAACAGGTCTGCATGAAATATTGTTATGGGTTCCAGGCTTCCAGCTGGACTCATGGGAGGCACTGTTATGAGCTCTAGGTTTTCAGCTGGACCCATGCAGGACATTATCATGGGATCTAGACCCTCAGCAGGATTCTTTGGTCTGTAGTGTGTGGACAGATTTCCTGCACTCCCTTGTATATGATTCTTTGGTTGACTATTATAAATAATCTTATAAAATATGTGTCCTGTATTATATTGTTTCTCTTTGCAATAAGCCCCAAACTAGGACAAAAGACTAATTATGCCTTTTTACCTAATAAAATATAAACCAATAGCTAAAGTTGCTTTGCCTTCCATGAGATGATAGTAGCAAAGGTTAACAGCTAAGTGTTTAGCACATGTCAGTGAGGGCCTAATCACTTAGCACATATTGACTTACGTACTCCTCACAACAACCCTATGAAGTAGGTATCCTGTTTACAGTCAAGAAGCTTAAGCATGGACATTTTTTTAAAATGCTCAAGTCGGTGGAATTAGCAAATGTCAGAGCCAGGATTCTAATCCAAGCAGTCTGCTTAATTCTGCAGAATCAGTGCTACCAGTGATACAGGAATTTCTTTTTATGAAAAAAGAAACAACCCCTACACACAAACAAAAACAGGACTCATAAAGGTCGAGCTGTACTGGAAACTACAATATTTTGTTTGGGTGAGCCATATTTTTCCTGAATATAAAGAATCTGCTGCTTTCTTCTTCCACTTCTCCAAATTCTTCAACACCCCCAAAGGAGGTGGGTATTGTTCTCATGATGAGGAAAAAAAAAAAATGCTTCATGAAATAAGGATGTCAGTGAGCTCACTGAGGAGCAGGTGCTGGTCTGCTCAGCCTGACTGGAAGTGTGGGGGGCAGGAGACGGGCCTGGCACTGTGCTCCTTCCCGGGCCAACACTGCCCTGGAACGCCAGGAGACGGACCGTGTCCCTTGCTGCACTTCACGCGGGTCTCCCAAGGAGAGCACTGTTGATCCACAAGCTTTCTGCGAGTGGTCATCAGCTTAAACGTGGATCTTTAAACATGCACATGAAAGTCATCTTAGCCAGGCACAAGTTCTAATAACAGCATCTACTGGAAACACCGCACTGTAATGCAAAATCCTTACAGGATATTTCATTCAAACTGACAAGGTATGACTGAAAATAAGACCCAAAGGTATAGGGGAGAGAGGAGGAGCACTGGAGTCAAAAAGACTAAATTTTGCTTAATGATAAACTTTATCACTCTCAGTGTGATAGCGACAGAGCCTTTGTGCTAATGGAAAAGAAAAAAGGTTCTCATAACTACCGTGAGGGCGGCTGACTAAGCATTGTACAAGAGTGCGCTTTGCTTTATAGGTCTTTTGTGCAGAGCCATTACTATAGCAGCAGTGACAATTGAACATTATTGAGCCTAAATTTGGGTTTTGGGTCTTTTACATTAACGGCAAAACAAGACCAATAAAACAAGCCGTAAAAACTTTCCAAGAATTGATGGTATTGCAAGACCTATTCAATTATCGAATTCTGAAGAGCTAAGAGTGATTTTAGGAAAACACCATTCTAGTTCATCCCTAAATTATAGACCCCTGAACAAAGAATCCTCAACCACAGGGGAAGCCCCGGAAAGCGGCTCACGTGGGGAGGGGGCTGTTGCGTGGAGGGATGGGCGGAGACTGAGGGAGAGAGCATCAGGAAAAGACCACTCCCCTCTCGGAGAAGGGCTCAGTAAGAGAATGGGTCAATCTCAGAAGGCTCAGCATTCAGGACCTTTGTGTCTAAGAGAAGAAACAAAAATTCAGATGCTTGTGTGTATGAGCTACAAGCCATTGGGTTTGTGGAACAGAGCTTGTGCTTCTGCCAAAAGTCTTAAGGACTACTGGACCTTCCACCTCTCAGCTGGGTGGGGCTGCTTCCCGCTGGGCTCATCAGCTCCTCTCCAGAACCCTCTCCTGCTCAGATAGTAGAAAGCAAAGTACTCACTGTAGTGTTTTCAGCTCTAAGTGATACTTGCATAATAGTTTTTTCTTAAAAAGGTTTTGAAGGAAATTCTCAGTTTATTGTATTATACTCACGCTTGTGAAGAAAAAGGAAACAATATTCTTTTTTTTAATTTTGTCAGATATTTTTAAAGAATGTCAAGGAATTCCACTTCTTAGGAAAATACTTGTTTAGATCTCAAATTAATGCCATAGAATATTCTGCACTGATTATGGTGTGTGGTTCCCACGGTCTTTTCACTTGTTCTCAAAGAGGACACAGAATGGGAATATAAAAATGTCTTTTCCTCACTTGTTCTAAACAAAGCCTTTATTGACATATATATAACAAAGCTCCACTCGCTTTGGAGACTTTTGTGGAGTAACTTTTGTATTTCTGAAGTAGACCGACTGGTAGGGCAAAAAATTGTTGTGTGGCAGACACGAGTGGGTGTCTTTGTCTGCGCCAGAAGAACAGGGCTGAGCGGGAGAATTCACTCCTCATCTGCGGAATCATTCTGCTTCCCATTTTCCAGCACCGTTCTCTGTTCTCATCCCTGTTCAAGGATCACAGTGCCCCACATGCACACCAGCCTCAGAGGAAAGACTGCTGAGGCTCCTCTCCTGGCCTTGGGGTGTGAGGGCAGCTACCCCAATACCCTCTCACCTCCCTCCCCAGTAGCTGGAGTCCTGGCTGTGTGGATGGAGCCTGTGGGCTCTCCCTGAAATGCACGTGCGTTTCCTTATCTCATTTCACTTCTTCCTCTCACCTAGACTCTAAAATGGGGATGTGGTTGTCTTGGACTCAGGCCAACAGCTTTCTCCAAATTGAAGAGAGGTGAGCTGGAGGAAGGCCAGGTCCCTGTGGATGTGCCACACTACCTGCATGGGTCCCTGGGACGCACATGCTGAACAGGCCCACCCTGGACACTCTCCCCATATCCCTGTGACGTGGTCCTGTATTCCACATCCTCAGTTAAATGTTTCTCCTCGAGGGGCTCCCCGCTCACCCCTTTAAATAAATCACAGTCCTTCCCCACTGTGTCCTCCCTTGTCCGTGCTTGGCTTTCTTTCTAGAATTTGCCACTCAATACTCCGTGTGTTTGCTCCATTTATCTGCTTCGTGGTCTCCTTTGGTAAGATACATGGCTCAGGGAGGTCAAACATAAATTTTACCAATTTTGTGTAATCAAACACACAGCATTTTGAACTGGTGTCTAGTACATCCCACCAGATGTTCGTCAAGTGAGCAAAACCAGTTCAGAAGTGCAGAGGTGACAAAAGGAGGCCTGGTCACCATGGTGCAGCTTGTCACAGGGCTTCTCTGACTCACCCTCCCCTCAGGACGTCTCAGCACCTGACTCTGTGTCAGGAGCCAACATATATACTGTCTCCATGGGTGACAGCCCACCCGAGCGCAATCCTCCCAGCAGGAGCCACGTCAGCAGGCACTGGGATCCCATCGTATGTATGCGTCTGTACACAAACTCAGACAGAAAAGAACACATCGAGGAAGTTACCAGCACAGGCAAGACTTTCCAGAACTGGGTGCTTGGCCTGGGTCATCCCTATTTTATGCAAAGGAATAACATAGGAGAGGTGGGGAGAGGCAATGTCATCAAGGTCAAAAAATAAAATCAGGATTAAAAGTAAGGGTTTGAAAGGGGCTGCTTCTTCCCACATTACTGAAGCCAAAATGTACACTGACTAAAGAAAATTCAGATGAGCAAATTTGGATGAAGTGCCCAAGGAAACCATCGCCACTGACGTGTGCGGGTGGAGGAGTGAGCTGCGTGTCCACCCATGCCAGACTTCAGGTCACGCAGTGCTGCCCTCCACACGCACTGCCCAGCCACCGGCTGGATGAACATCCTGTGAGGAGAATGAGGCCAAGCACGCAAAGACAACAAGCAACGAAAATAGCTTTCAGATCACTGTGTACCTTTGATTACAATACAAATTAAATCAATTGTTTTATTTTTATCTGACAATTCATAAGTAGCATATGATAAAGATAAGCAGTTTCTTTGAATAGGAGAACATTATGTGAAGGAGAATAGATATTTCCATAAAATATAAGTGAATTTAAATATCTGTCTTAGTTACTTTTCTCTCACTGCTGAGACAAAATACCCAACATGCAAAGTTAGAAGACATAAGGTTTGTTTAGCTCAGTTTGTGGAGGGTTCAGTCCATAAATGACTGGCTCCAAGGCAGGGTGGCATGGCACAGGGGCAACAGTTCATGGCGGTAGAAGACACCAAAAGCAGACAGAGAGAGAGACAGAGACACAGACACAGACACAGAGACACAGAGAGAGAGACAGAGAGAGAGACAGAGAGAGAAAGAACAAACCTCTTTCAGTCCTGTATATTTTACCCAAGCTACCCACCCTAGGGCAGGTGTAGCACTCACACCCTTAATGCCAGCACTGCACTATGAATCAGTCACACACTCTAGATTCAGCCACCTCTGAAGAAAAAACCATAAGACACCATGAGGCTTTGGGGGGACATCTAGATGCAAACCATAACCATGTCTGATTCCAGCTCTCCTGGTGATTAACTTATGAGTAGGCTGCCAGCTATCTCTAATTCCTGGTGAGTACTTTCTTTTGCAGCAAAATGAGAGAAAGAATATTTACCTTGCAAAGACTGCTATCCACAAGGAGCAGAAATAACAATGTGGGTAAAGTGGCGGGGGGCATCTACACTATTCAGAGGGGCATTTGACAAACTCTCACCATCATGGCCACTCTGACAGAAACATATCAGAGCCCTTCTCTTTCCTAAGAGATCAGTTATGTTTTCTCCACCAACAGATCCTTAAGAAGATAGAAAACAACCTATAGAATTTTTCTTAACTGGACAACTTCTTAGAATTTATTCTTCATGCCTTGGTACATACATTTGGTACAATATTCAAACTCAGCCTCCAAAAAGGTTAGCCTTTGCCTTCTGGTCAAAGAATCTATACCACAAATTGTAATTCCATCAAAAATTCTATAGAAAAAAATCTGATAGAAAGTGCATGGAGTCTGAAATCTTTGAGCCAACCTGATCAGGAAAGATGTGGATGTCTCTTCCATAAACATATTTCTTCCTTTTCGTACTGAATAATGATCCAGATGTTCTTGGTCAACACTCCTACAGTGCATCTGGCGCCTCCAGCACTGTACCTGGGATGTTCCGACACTTCAGTCATTCTAAGAGATGTGCTAAATAAAATTGCATGCAAGATGTTCATCTGGGCTATCAGTAATTAGCTGATTAAAATGAAATGATTACTGGCGAAATTGAGAAATGGCCACTTAGGCATGTGTTCCTGGGACGTAAAGGAAGAGTACTAGGTATTAGCAAGAAACTTGTTTTCAATGTGCCATTTGTTTTGAAAGCGCCACCATAGCAAAGAAATACACTCCAAGGGAATCCATTCAATTACATGTTTGTAATTTGGTCTCTTGGTAATATAATCACACCAGACTTTGCCTTAGCCCAACTGTTCCCTCAGCTAATGAGTTCAAGGCCACATGGCCCAAGTTTTGTTCCAAACAACTAAAGTAGCAAATTCAAGATGAAAATATTTCATACACTCTAAATAGAAAAGCTATAACAATGAACATTACTGTATATTGCTTTTGTAAAATCCTGGTCCAGTGGAGGCCGTCTCTAACTGCTGATTGCCCACGTGTACACAAGATCCTTTCCTTTCTCACCTGTGCAAACACAACGCCCCTCCACCTGCGGTGCCCTGTGACCCTCGTCCTCTCTCCAGCCTCCTCAGCATTTCAGCTGCTTCAGCATTCTGAGCACCAGAAACAGAAACGTTCCTCAAACTCAGGACCCCATGGGACCCCTTCAGCCTCTGCTCTACCTTTCCTGTCTAAAATTTAGAAGCTTTAAGCCCTCTCCAATCAGATTTCTAATGGTGCCTTGATAACTTTATTATCATTCACATGACAGTATTTCCGAATTCCTCCCCAGCTGATGCGGACAGGAGCCACAGGCTCTATCAAGGAAAGGCTGACCCTCACTGTCCCTGCTTCTCAACTCTACAGAAAATATGATGTCACCAAGGTCACTGGAGAACTGGTGGTGGTGGCGCTGGTCCAAGGAATTCCTTCCACGTGACCTCTTACTTGTCACTGTTGTTTATTCAGGGATACTGGGAAATGGTCCTCATTCGTTTCCATGACAACTCACCTTGCTGGTTTCCCAGCTACCTGGCGGAGTAGGTAGCTTCCTTCCCAGTCTCATTTTTGGGCTTCCCACCCTGCCTGTTTCTCAGAGTGTGGGCCTGAGCCTCTCTTACAGCCTTCCTGAGAAATCATCCATTCCCATGGCACCCGCGAGTGATCCCTGGACTTCCCCGGCCACCACCGCATTCCCACACCCCTACTTCAGGCGACAGGATCACCATCCACTCTGTTAGGGACGGGTCTACACTGGTTTCTATTTTCCCTCACCGCCATGTCCATCATCTGGCCGGTTTCCGGTGCCCTGCTCCTAAATCCTCTTCACCGTTCACTGCCCACTGTCCCTCATCCAGGACACTTCCCTCCTTCCTGAGGACAACGGCCGACCTGCCTATCTGGGCTTCAGATGCACTCCCACACACTCCTCACGCTGCTGCAAGAGTGAGCTTCCTAAAGCCTGTGCTCGTCCCCAAATCAAGTTCCTACCACACCGGAGGTGCACCACCGAGTCCTCTTGCCCTCGGAACAGTCTCCATTGCTCGGCACCGTAGATCAGCCTGCGGGTGACCTAACCCAAGCTTAACTCCCCACAGGCCCCTCCCTGTGTATCCCCCCACAGGCTAGTAGGTTGTGCAGTTTTCATTGCTGTAGAATTCAAGATTTTCCTAGGTTCCGATTGATTTTTATACACAGGTTATGTAGAAATACGTTCCTAAGGTTGCCACATGGTTGACTTACGGTCAGGGAAGGTGACCTGGACCAAACCACTTCTGTAATGTTTTGAGGTTCATTCTGTGGACTTCCACTTAGTCAGTCTCATAAGCGTGTTCCACAGGCTTAAAAATCCTGTGCTGTTTCACTGTTCTGAGCAATTTTCTAAACATAACAATGAGAGGGACCATGCAGTTGATCCTGTTTCTGTCATTGTCTAGCGACTTTTCAGACACGTATGTCTGACCACCTCAGGATGGCGCACGCAGCCCCTCATCCCTGTTCTCACGGCTGTCCTTTCCATAGCTCAGTAATACTAACTTACGCACCCTCGTCAGGAATTTCAATTTTAATCATTCCTCAGTTGCAGCAATGTTTCCCCCACTTGCAAACCTGATTTGTTTGGTGTTGAGGTAGCGCTGCCTCCCTCTGTAGCTTTTCTCCGCACTGTTTCGTCTACAGCCCTGCGCGGTTACACTTCGAATGTGTTTGTGATAAACAGCACGGCGGTTCTGCTTTGTTCTGCAGATTTGGTCCGACGAGCTGTGTGTGTCAACCTGAGCCTTTAGTCCATCAGTATCCACTGGAATTGGGCTCCTCCTTTTCTCACCGTTTCCCCTGCTTCATTGTGTAGGTTTCATGTGGCCGGCGCGTGCTGTATTTTGTCTCTTCCCTGCTCCGTGGCTTCCTTTAGATGAAAGTTCTTTTATCTTTCTTCTATTTCTCATTAATAGCTTGAGTGTGATGTGATCTGTTTTCAGAACTGTAATGACTACCTGAGATATTTTAACGGTTGCATTTACCACTTTTCGTTTGATGAACTCTAAAATTAATCACTTCCTCATCTCTGCAGTGAATAATGTAAAAACTTGACAGTACTAGCCCCCTCCTCAGTTGACAGTTACTACCTAGCAGTTTGGGTTTTTCCTTGATATCTAATCCTACACAGTAGACACTGTTACTGTTTCCTGCAGTCCGTTGTTTCTACCACGTATCTAGAGTCGCCTTTTCTCACCACTTCTTGCATGAGGTTTTCTTTACAAGATTGTTTTTCTTCTCAGAATCCACATTTCCTAGATGAAGTCTGCTTATAATAAATACATTGATTTTATGTTTTGAATTCAAATTACCCT